CTTGCTGCCGGGCTCACAACTGGTCGGCTGTGCCCAGTCCCAGTCCCATGGCCCTGTCGGCACTGAGGCTGCCATCTGGCCTCCAGACAGAACCCTTCTCTCCCTGCGTGCTGAGGCTGGGCTTCCCAAGTCCACAAGGGCTCCCTCCTCAGGCTGCAGAGCATAGACATCCAGTGGGAGAGGGTGGTTCCCAGGAACAGGCTCCAACTCAGTGTGCGAAAAAACTGTCTCCTTTTAGTCCCACGCAGGGATGGGTTGGGTGCCAAGGGAACTGAGGTGGAGTGAGCACCCCGTCATCAGAAGTGTGTAAGCAGGGGCTGGATGGTTCCCCCCCTTAAGAAGACAACAAAGAGACCTGTTGTCTTAAGAACCTGGGCCTGGTGGGTGTGGAACCATCATGTGGAAAGAGGAACCATGCTGGCTGAGAACGTGCCCGGTACACTCCGGGCTCAGTTATGGGCAGCTGTGGAGGTGCTACTGGGTGGTGTCCTTCCCATTCCTCTTCAGACCCCCTCACCTACCCCTGCCTGGGCCACCTGGACGGTGTTAATGACTGTGACAACAAGGACGCCACACACATACACACAAACACACGTGCACGTACACAACACAGGTACACACATGGTGTCAGGAAATTGCCAGGATGGAAAATGAATTGCCAATATTGGGAATGCAGCTCACACAACCAAAAAGTCAGGGACCAGTCCCTTCAACCCTGGTTCTGTTCGGTCTGGTACAGTTTCTACTGAAACAAAACAGAACGGCCCTGCGCCCACCCAGTCGGGGCTGTCAGGCTGGAGAGATGGGTGTCCCAAGTCAGGAGACCTGAGTCCATGGTTCCCAGACCTGCCAGGTGGCCAGGATCACCCTAAAGCCTCTTAAAAATACAGAGGCCCAGGCCCACCTCAGCTCTGCTGCTTAGGATTCTCCTCTCCCCCTGCAGGGGGAGGAGGACACAGCTTTGCTGCTCGGGGCACTATCTGTCCACAAGGATCAGGCTATTGTCACTGTCAGACTGGCTCAGATTAATTAAAAAGTCCAAGTTAGCTTCAGGCACAGCCAGGATGTCACGGAATGTCACCTCTTGCTGCCTTGCCTGCTTTCTCCCTGGGGCAGAAGAAACTCCACTCAGACTGACCAGACAGCCCCCCACGAGCTCCAGACCCACACCCTCCACCTCCCAGGCCAGAAGAATGACGGCATTTCTCTTCCCTGGAGGTTTGACTCTGATTCTGGCCTGGCTCTCCTTAGCTCACGCTGGGTCCCCTGCCTTGGCAGAACTAGTCATAGTTCACACTAGGCTGAACTCGTGCGTCTCCTGGGCTAGGGTGGAGGGGGAGCAGAGGGAGGGCTGCCCTTCACCCTCCCCTAGACACAGAGCCTGATACTGGGCGGCCTAACCCCAGGGTTTCCGATGCACAGCCCAACTGAGGTACCCCAACCAGACACGGGGAGTGGTCAATGTTGGCCACCCTGGGTGTCACACAGGGTCACACATATGACAATCCTTCCTGTACATCTCCCAAACGGTAGAGGTACGCAGCTCCCTGAGAGCTGAAAATTGGCTCACCCTGGTGCCCGTGCTGTGCAGAACCCTGACCCCAGCCCCTTGGCCTCCCTGGCTGGGACGGTCACACCCTAACATGGAAATAATATGCACCTCTGAGAGCGCAGACAGGCCCTGGCTGGTTGTGTCATCTTAGAAAGCAGAGAAGAGAAACGGCTTCTCGCTCCCTGGGATCCTGTGTAAAACCCCAGGGAGGGGCTCCAGCTGGCCAGCTCAGGGCCTGGGCCACGCCCTGGGGATGGGCCCCATCAGCCTCGGTGGCCTCACTGGTCGGGACATGGAGAGGGTGGGAGTGCGGCTCTCTGGAAAAGGGGCGGATGGTGCCAGAGCCTGTCCCCTCTGTGCAGCCCACCCACACCTGCCCCTGGGGAGGGCTGCCCGGTTTCCCTCCCTTTGTTCCTGGTGCCTGAGCCCCTGCTTCTCCGGCAGTGGACGGGCAGCTGTTCCGCTCAGTGGAAGGCCAGGCCGCCTCCGATGAAGAAGAGGAAGGTGAGGAGAAGTGGCAGGAAGAGCGGAGCTCACTGGCAGAGATCAAGACGCTGCTGGCGTGCCTCTCCAGCTGCAGGAGTGGGTATGTGTGCTGGGGCAGGGCGATCCGCGCTGGAGGCCCAGAGCCCCTTCCCAGAGCTTGACCTTGAGGACCAGATTCAAGTCCCGACTGGATCATCTCCAGTTCCCCAGACACTCTGGCCCCTGGTCCACAGGAGGAAAGTGAGATGATGAGCCCCCCAGCATATGCAGGGATGAAATGAGGTGACTGACAGAGGCACGGAGCTGCCGTTCCCACTGGTTCCCTCACACTCCCCTGGCTGCTATCCCAAGATGTGGCCCCAAGTTCTAGTGCTACTCCAGGACATATCAGACCCTTCCTTCCCCATTGCTCCTGCGAGAAACAGTGCTTACAATGCCTCCTCCAGCTGACCCCCTGGCTTTTTGAATCCTCACACCCACCCTGGAGGGAAGAAAGACCCAGATGCCTGGGGCACCGCAGACAAGTCGCAGACTTCTCTGAGCCTCAGCCTTCTCATCTCTAAGATGGGCCAGCAACACTTGTCTGGCAGAGGTTTTTGAGGACTTGCTATCGCAGCTATAAAATGCCTAAAAGGTGCCTGATCCCCATTGGTTCACCCCCAAGAGCCAGCGCAGACTTTAATTATATTGTACAGTGCTGTCAGTGTTCCCAGGTGATTGTTATCCCCGACCCCTAAGTCAACAGCAAGCTTTTATGAAGCACCTACTACGTGCTGGGCAAATCTGGAGGCACCGAGAGAACAGCAATAAGCAAGACAGCACCATCCCGATAGCAGAGCCCCTATTCTAGTGAGTGGTGACAAGTGTGAGGAGAAAAGGTGAAGCAGGGGTGAGGGACAGGGGGTGGTACAGGAAGATGCTGGGAAGGTCACTCTAAGAAGGTGCCATGTGAGCAAAAACCTGAAGGACACAAGGGAAGGGCATTCCACAAAGAGAGAACAGCATGTGCAAAGGCCCTGAGGCATGCTCTAGGGGCAATGAGGGGGCTACTGAGGCTGGAGCACGGTGAGTGAAGATGAATGGGATGGAGGTCAGAGAGATTGCAGGGGCAGATCGGAGGGGGGGGCTTTGGCTTTTCCTTGGAGTAAAAAGGGGAGCCACAGGAGGGTACTGGGCAGAGGGTACCATGGCCTGGCTTAGCTTTCAAGAGACAGGCTTGGCAGCAACACCCACATTCTGAGGCTGGACCAGACTCTGCAGAGCCACTCCGCAGTGCTGGTGCTCTCCTTTGCCACAGGTGTGATGACCAGACAGCCAAGAAGCTCACGACTTACTTCAGCCACATTGGCAGTGGTGACCATGCCTGCACCCTGGGACAGCTGGAGACCCACATCACCACGCTGGTGGAGCAGCTGGGGACCCAGAGCTGCCGTGGCAAGGCCCTGGGGACACTTGGGGAGGAGGTCAGCTGAGCCCCAGAGGTCGAGGTCTGGATCAAAGCTAGAATCTCTCATAGCTGGAAGAACCCCAAGGGATGTCAGCCAAGTACTGGGCCCTGTTCACAGATGAGCAGACCAAGACTCAGAGAGGACATGCAACGTGCTTTGACTTAGATTTAATGAAGAATATTTTGGTTGCAAGTCAACGGAATTAACTCGGATTAGCTTCAGTGCAAAACTGGTATTTAATAGAATATGGAGCTGGCAAGAACAGCTTCAGAAGAACAGCAGAGGAGATAAGATTCAGGAACAGTGGGATCCAGTGACTCAGACAAGATTGTCTCCATCTATCTCTGTCTGCTGGGTGTTTCCCAGGTCCTGGCCTCGTTTCCCCCTACTTCAGAAGGGCTTCCTCCATGTGGTGGTCAAAGGAAAGGCAGGACCACAGACAGCTCCAGGCTCCCATTGACCCACCCAGGGGAATTAAGAGCCTGATATATAAAATCTCAGGGAAGAACTCCAGCTGACCCAGTCTTGGTCATGTGCCCGTCCCTGGCCCAGTCCCTGTGGTAGGCAGGCAACGTTCAGGGATTAGCCGCTCCATCAAAGTCAGACGACAGGGAGGAGGGACTTTTTTCTCCCCAGGAAAGTTACTGAGGGTTATGGGAGGGAGCTGGCAGGCAACACCAATAGCAGGCTGTCTCCATTCCAATAGGAACACTTTGCATTTTTTTCCATCTCTCTACTCCATTCCCCAGTAATCAAGTACAGAGTGTTATTGAGAGTTACCATTTCACAAAGCCCTAGCCCACTGCACTTTTGCAAACTGTTGTGTTGATCTAAGGAAGTTTTATATTTATATATCTGAAATTCAAAATCCGTACTGTTTGTGACATAGTTGTGGTCTGATGTGGTTCCAAAAGGCATGGCCACCACCCCTTTTCTAAGTAAATTCCAAGGAAGTGGGGGTTAGGAGAGTTACTGAGGTATGTGAGTGGTGTCCCCAAGCCCACCTTCCAGTCCTATCTGTGGTGGGCACCAGCACCATGCCTTCTCTGTCCTACCCAAAGCCCAGAGTGGACCCAGAGTGTCTGAGGATGGCACACCTTCAGCTGCTTCTCTTTCCCTCCATTGGTGCCAAGAATAGGGGCTGCCTCTCATCTGGCATCCCTGCTTTAAAAGGCAGGTAGCCACATGATGCTCTGTGACTGCCCCCTGGTGGGTATCCTGGTAGGACCCATGGTCTCAGGGCTCAAGCTGGCCCAATCCAGGCCCCTCCTGGGGCTCTCTCTCTTGAGGGAAGTGGAAGAGTGGCTGGAGAGTGTCCTTCTCAGCTCTGAATTCTGGAGAAGAGGCTTGAGGCTGTCCTACCATCTCAACCCCCATTGTGGCCCTATCCCTGAGCTTCTCCAGCTGCTGGTCTGTTCTGGGAATGACCCAGAGCCTGCCAGTGAATTCTCTTTCTGTTTCTCTAGCCAGATAGTTTCCTGTTGCTTGAAAAAAAAAAAAAAAAAAAAGAAGAAGAAGAAGAAGAAGGGGAAAATGTATTAAAAATAAAAGAAAGCAGATGAATACAGAAGAAGAAGGGAAAATGGAGTCCTCATCTAGAAAACGAAATATACATACTCTTACATTAACACCACTCACTGTGTGACCTTAGGCCAGACATGTATCCTCTCTGGGCCTTGGTGCCCCCACTGGGAAGATGGGTGATTTTATCTGCTCAGTCCCCTGGCAGGTGCAGGGAGAGAGGGAAGATCGGAAGAGATGACCTCCGTGAAAAGGTCAAGGCAAGTCATGGGCCCTGCCTGGAGATGGAACAGTGAGTGCTGGGCAGAGGGCAGCAGGGTGAGTGCTGAGTCCCTGCTGGCCCCCACAGGCAGAGCTTCAGCAGAAGGTGGAAGAGATTGAGCACCTGAGGCTGGAGCTACAGATGGTGGAGACAGAGCGGGTGCGGCTGTCCCTGCTGGAGGAGAAGCTCATGGATGTGCTGCAGCTCCTGCAAAGGCTCCGGGACCTGGTAGGCTCATGGGCGCTGGCACACTCAGGGCAAGGGGAGGAGCTCTCATGGAGCACCAGCCTCTGCCAGGCACTTGGCCCGGAGTTTCCTCACATTAGGCAGGTGTCAATTTCACTTTCCAGGTGCAGAAAAGGAGGCCCAGGGATATTATAGTAAAAAAGAAGGGAAGGCCACTCTGTCCCGCCCAAGGTGGTGTTATTCACTTTCTAAAGCTGATCCAACTTTGATTTCAAAACCAGAGAAGGAGAAATATAAGAAAGGAAAATTATAAGCTAATGTCACATGGAAATGTGGATGCAAAATATTAAATAAGATATTCGCAAACCAAATCCAGCAGTGTTTAAAGAAATGCAACATGACCACATTGGATTTAAAGTGATTTAAAGATCAGTGATTTAAAGATCATTCAAGATCAACAAATCTATTAACGACATATACACATTGTAGATTAAAGGACAAAAACGATATGCTCATCTCAATAGATGTAGAAAAGTCAAGAACAGTCTCCTTTTATCAGTGAATTAAGAACAGTAAGGACTTCCTTTACCAGATACGGAGTCTCAGCCAACTATCTCTCACAGGCTTCACACTTATTGGTGAAATGTTGGAAGGAATGCTTCTAAAGTCAGAGTCAAGACAGTGATGCCTGTCATCACTGTTTGTATGCCAACTAGAGAGTCTAGCCAATGCAGTAAGACAAGAAAAAGAAAGAAAAGGTGTAAGGATTAGACAGGAAGACAAAGCTACCGGTGATCATATATCATACTCATCTATACAGAATACCCAAGAGAATCCAGAGGCAAATTATTGTCATTTCTTGGCCAGGTAAATACTAAAATGTCAGGACACAGAAATCAATTGTGTTCCTAAATAGCGTCAGAAAATCATTAAAAAACTTTAAGAAACCACTAAGCTGGGATTATAGCCACTGTAGGGTGGAAGGAGGATTTAAACCCAGGTTGCCGGGGTTTTAAGTGGGTTCTTGCCAATGCACCAGATTGCCTAGGACAGAACGACCAAGGCCAAAGCCAGGGCAGCAGAGCCTGAGAGAATGGCTGAGTGGCAGCCAACACCAGCAGAGAGTGAAGGCAGTGGTTAGCACCACAGCTCCAGGCCGTACAACCTGCGGGTAGAAGCTGGTTCTCCCACCTCCTCTTAGCTGGGTGGCTTTAGGCAAATTTCTCATTTTTTCTCAGCACTGCTTTTCTTCACTGGTTAAAATGAGCCTAATAATAGGACTTGTTGCAAAGATTAAATGAGCCAATGCATAAAAATGCACTTATTCATGTTTATTTCCTAAGTGCCAACTTTACTTTGGCACAGAAATGATAATCCATAAATATGTGATCTTTGAGGGAATGGACGCTGCAGCCCACACTATCCACCCACCAAAAGTCTTTGAGAAGCCCCTCAAGCAGTGTGGCCAGGCTAAGGGTAGGGACCCAGGAAGGGATGGGGGGGATAGTGACTCTACGTGCCCCCAGGGAGCCTTACAGAAGCTGTAGGGGCCATCAAGTCCTGCCTGCTGGACGAGGACACCACAGCCACAGTGCAGTCCAGCCCTGTCTCCATTTCTTTTCAAGAACATATCGAAAAGAGCCCTGGGGAAGATTTTGCTGAACACGCTGGATGCTTGCAAGGACGCCCCACCCGGTAGGAGAACTCCCCCATCTTTCAGAGCCTGGACAGTGTCTGGAGAGCAGCCTGACTCAGAACTCTCTGCCCTGAGTGTCTTGTCTACAAAATGCCACTGTCATGACTCCTCTGACTGCCTGTGATGTGCGTAGTGCATAGTGAGGAACGGGCTTTAGAAAGTTGGAAAATGCTCTTGGGTGTCCCAGGGAGAAGAGCTAAGCAGAAGCCAGCATGGTCAAACCTCCAAGGGCACTAGGCAAGTTCAGTCACTGGGCTGAGTGTGGGCTCTGTGGAGGCATCCCATGTGGTTTTAATCCCCAAGTCATGACAACAGCCTACTGGAGAAGGTGCTGTTATTGTACCCATTTCACAGATGGAGAGACCAAAGCAGAGAAAGGTCAAGTGCCAGCTGTACCCAAAGCCTTGGGTCTCTCCCTTAAGCAGTAAGCTAAGTGGCCCCCATTGTTTAGACAAAGTTCAGGGCAGTAGGATTTCATCAGTACCAGATTGCGGCTGGTGAAATCAAGAGTCAGGCCAAGCTCTCTCCTCAAAGGGCCTCCTATGCTAATGGGGCGACCAACTGGTGATGAGCCTTTGCTCACTGGCCTCACAAGGCATTGCAGGGCAAGGCTCGGGTAGGTCCAGTGCCCTGGATGGTCCCTGGAATTGAGAGGGAGGTTAGAAATTGTGTGCTAGAAGGCCCCTTCTCTGGGGCCCTCAGTGGGAGAGAAACAAGAGGGGGAGGTGGCTAGGCAGGACTGGGGAGGGCCCCAGAGAGGAGGAAGAGTGGCTATGTAGGCCACAGTGAGCAAACTGAACTACCTTCCCTGTCCACTCTTTCCTTCCAGAGGGGCGATGTGGACCCGTGGCCATCCTGGATGCCCTGCGCCAAGCTTTGGCTGGCTGTGAGCTCCTGCAGAGAGAGCTCTCGGCACCAGCCTCCACAGCTCCTGCACTAGCCAACCCCCTCCTCATCTCCTGCTGAGGTCACTGGCCCAGCCTATGGGCACCTCGGTCAGCCTGACCTCCATCAGACCAGCCTCCAGATCAACCTGACTGCAACCAGACCAGTTTCCTTGACCAGCCTGACCACCATCGGATGAGCTTCCATGGCTACCCCAACCACCATCGCATCCTCAGAACCCTAGAGACCCTGACTCCTGAGACTGGGCTCAACCCCAAAGCCTCCCACAACAGAGCCTACCAGACATCATCTCCTTGAGTTCCTCCCAGGTTCCCTCACAGCCCCTGCATTCCTGGTGCCACAGTTCACATTCAAGTCCTGGGGCTGCTGGATCAGCCCATACCTGCTGTTGCCTCCCCTGCCCACTTTCTCACACAGCCCAGCCCAGAATCCCTTCCCTGGTCTCCTGGGGTCTTTCCCCCTCCCAGCACTGTCCCCTTCCTCTCACTGCTGCACCCAACCTCCAGGCCACACCTGGCCCACTGGGGAATCCCCACACCCCCAGAAGTGCTAAAGACCAGGCAGGGCTGGGGGAAACACAAGGTGGGGATGATTACTGCAAGTTTCTGGACGGAGGCTGCCCTTGAACTAGCTGTAGAAGAGAGGTGGTATTTAGATGGACAGAGAAAGGATTACAGGACCTGGGACGCCTCTTTCCCAGGCAGATAGCAGGCACTGGATTTCACAGAGTCATGCGAAGGAGTAAGACAAGCTGTCTGGTCTCACCTACCTTAACGTCTCGTAGGAGAGAAAGATACATTGGCAAATAGTGTGACATGGGTGAAATCAGAGCCAGATCAAGGTAAAATATTTGCAAGAGTCCAACCAAGAGGGGGTCATCTGAGCCAAAGCGGACTGATGTACTACAGAGTGGAACCGTAGGGGTGAGGGCAGGTGCCCGGAAGGACAGTAGCAGGTCATAGGGGGACTCAATGGCAGATGACAGACTGGGACTTGCTCCCACAGGCAATCAGGAGCCATTGGAGGATTCTGAGCTGCCTCACAGAGGGTAGGTGGAGGGGAGTGAAGAAGAGGCAACTGCAGGACTACAGGAGGAAGGCGGCACTAGGAGCCTGGAGCCAGAGCTACGGGACACAGGAGGGGATCGTGGGAGAAAGAGGATCAAGGGGTACCCAGTGGGGAGTCTGGGAGCAGCAGGCACCCCAGAGCAGGGTAGCAGGGATTGGAGACAGACAATGCCTGACTGGCATTCCTGACCTGTCTGGTCTCAGACACTCAGCAGCTTGGATGGGGCCAGGAGGCATCAGGGAGCCCCTCCTGGGAGTCCCTACCCAGTTTCCCTATGGATCCTCTGGGAATGGAATGAAAGAGGCCAAGGCCAGTGGCCACTCCTGAGAGGCCACCCTACCCTTGGTCCTGTAGGGTGGGCCAGGCTTTTTGAGAAAGTCCTCAGGACTCCTCATGGGCCAGTGGGCAGGACTGGGCAAACACGAGTAGAACTGTGAGTTGAAATAGATGAATCCACTATTGTATCTGGAGACTTCAACTCCCCTCTAACAGAAATGGACAGATCCAGCAGGCAGAAAATCGGTAAAGACAGAGTTGAACTCAGCAGTGCCATCAACCAACGGGATTTAATTGACATCAATAGACGACTTCATCCAGCAATTGCACAGTGCACGTTTTTCTCAAGCTCACACGGACTATTCTAGGATACACCACATTCCAGGTCACAAAACACACCTCACAAATTTCAACATATTCTGTATGCTCTCAGACCATACTAGAATTAAACTAGAAGTCAATCAACAGAAATAAGTAGAAAATCCCAGAATATGTGGAAATTAAACAACACACTCCTAAATAACACATAGGTGAAAGAACAAATCTCAAGGGAGACTTAACAATACTTGGAACTAAATGAAAATGAAATACAGTCTACCAAAATTTGCAGGATACAGCATCAGATGCACATATTGGAAAAGCAGAAGATCTAAAAAAAATCTAAGTTTCCACCTAGAAAAAGAAGAGCAAATTAAATCCAAAGTAAGCAGAAGAAAAGAAGTATTTATTTTTAATTAGAGCAGAAATCAATGAAATTGGAAATAGGAAAACAGAAAAACAATGAAACAAAAGCTAGTTCTTTGAAAAGGTCAACAGACTCAATAGGCCTCTTGCCAGGTTAATTGAGAAAAAGAGGGAGAAGACACACACTGCTAACATCAGAAATGAATGAGGAGATAGCACTATAGTTGAATATTATATGGATAATAAAGTAATATTACAAATAATTCTAAGCCCTCAAATCAGATAACTTAGATGAAATGGATCAGTTTCTTGAAGGACACAATCTGCCAAAACCCGCACAAGAAGAGATATGAATAGGCCTCTATCTATTAAAGAAACTGAATCAATAAGTAATAACCTTCCCGAAGAGAAAGCACCAGGCCTAGATGGGTTCACTGGTTAATTCTACCAAACATTTTTTTTTTTAAAGATTTTATTTATTTATTTGTCAGAGAGAGAGAGGGAGAGAGAGCAAGCACAGGCAGACAGAACGGCAGGCAGAGGCAGAGGAAGAAGCAGGCTCCCTGATGAGCAAGGAGCCCGATGTGGGACTCGATCCCAGGACGCTGGGATCATGACCTGAGCCGAAGGCAGTTGCTTAACCAACTGAGCCACCCAGGCATCCCAAATTCTACCAAACATTTAAGGAAGAAATTCTTCCAATTTTCTACAGTATCTTCCAGAAGATAGAAGCAGAGGCAATACTCCCTAACTCATTCTGAAGCTGGCATTACCCTAATCAAAACTAGACAAAGATATTATAAGCAAAGAGAACTACGGAGCTATCTCTATCATGAACACAGATACAAAAGTCATAAGAAAATTAACAATTTGAATCCAACAATATATAAAAAGAATTATACACCATAACTAAGTGGGATTCATCCCAGGTACGCAAGGCTAGCTCAACATTCAAAAATTAACTGTACTCTATCACATCCATAGGCTAAAGAAGAAAAATCATGTGTTTGTATCAATAAATGCAGAAAAAACATTGGACAAAATCTAACACCTATCCTTGATAAAACAATAATAATAACCGTCAACAAACTAGGCATAGGGAACCTCCTAACTCGAAAAACCTAGAGCCAACATCACACTTACGTGGAGAGAAACTAGATACTTTCCCACTAAGATCAGGAATAGGGCAAGGGTGTCCCCTCTCCCCACTCATTTTCAGCATCTTGTTGGAAGTCCTAGCCAAGACAAGAGACAAGGAAAGGAACTACAAGGTGCTTTGTATCCCCTCAAAGTTCATATGTTGAAACCCTAATCCCCAATGGGATAGTAGCTGGAGCTGAGGCCTCTGGGTGGGGGGCAGGCAGAGGGGGATTGGGTCAGGAGGGTGGAGCTCTCATGATAATTAGTGCCCTTCTACATGAGACTGCTTGCTTCCCCCTCTCTCGGTCTCTGCCAGCAGAGGATACAAGACAGTGGTCATCTGTAAACAAGGAAGAGGGCCCCCACCAAGAACCCAAACACCCTGGCACACTGATCCAGCCTCCAGAACTGTGAGAAATAAATGTGTGTTGCTTAAGTCTCCCAGTCCATGGTGTTTTGTTTCAACAGCCCTAACTGACTAAGTCAAAAGGTACACAGAATGGGAAGGAAGAAATACAACAGTCTGTGCACGGATGACATGATCATCTAAATAGAAATCCAAAAGATTTCTTTTGGAACAACAACAACAAGAACAAAAATCCTGGAATAAGCAATTATAGCATAATTTCAAATATAAGGTTACTATACAACAGTCAACTGCTTTCCTATACACAAGCAATAAACAAGCCTGGGTGGCTCAGTGGGTTAAAGTCTCTGCTTCAGCTCAGGTCATGATCTCAGGGTCCAGGGATCGAGCCCTGCATTGGGCTCTCTGCTCAGCAGGGGGCCTGCTCCCCCATGCCTCACTCTCTGCCTACCTCTTTTCCTACTTGTGATCTCTGTCAAAAAAATAAATAAAATCTTAAAAAAACACTCCACACCATTTACATTAGCACCCCCCAAAATGAAATATTTAGATATGAATCTAACAAAATATGTGCAAAATCTATATGAAGACAATTATAAAACTCTGATAAAAGAAATCAAAGAACTAAATAAATGGAGGCATAGTTCATGTCCTCGGACAGGAAGACTCAGCATTATCAAGATATCAGTCCTTGGGACGCCTGGGTGGCTCAGTCGGTTAAGCCGCTGCCTTCGGCTCAGGTCACGATCCCAGTGTCCTGGGATCGAGTCCCGCGTTGGGCTCCTTGCTCAGTGGGGAGCCTGCTTCTCTCTCTGCCTCTGCCTGCCACTCTGCCTGCTTGTGCTCTCTGTCTCTCTCTCTCTCTCTGACAAATAAATAAATTAAAAAAAAAAAAAGATATCAGTTCTTCCGACTGATCTCCACTCTGTGCAGCCCCAACCCAAGTCCCAGCAAGTTATTCTGCAGGTTATTGACAAACCAATTCTAAAGTTTCTACGGGGAGGCAAAAGACCCATAATAGCCGACATTATATTAAAGAGAACAACAAAGCTGGCGGACTGACACTACCTGAATTCAAGATTTGTCATAAAGCCACAGTAATCAAGATGTGTGGTGCTGGGATGCCTGGGCGGCTCAGTCGATTAAATGTCTGCCTTTGGCTCAGGTTATGATTCCAGGGTGCTGGGATTGAGTCCCACATCCAGCTCCTTGATCAGCGGAGAGCCTGTTCACGTACACTCACTCTCTCTCTCTGACACATCAATCAATCCATCAATCTAAAAAAAAAAAAAAAAAAAAAGACATGCGTTGCTGGCAAATACATCAGTGGAACAGAATAGAGAGGCCAGAAAGAGACCCACACAGATACAGTCAACTGATCTCTGACAAAGGCGCAGAAGCAACACAAGACAAAAATAGACTTTTCAATAAATGGTGCTGGGACAAATGGATATCCACACGCAAAAAAAAAAAAAAAAAAAATTAGACACAGACCTTACACCCTTCTCTAAAATTAACCCTTCACAAAAATTAAAGTGAGTTACAAACCTAAATACAAAACACAAACCTAAAAACTCCCAAAATATAACACAGGAGAAAACTTGAGGATTTTACGGCCTTTTAAAATACACCAAAGGCATAATCCCTCCAAGAATTAACTGATACCCTGGAATTTGTTAAAATTAAAATGTCCTGCTCTGAGAAAGATGATGTCAAGGGAGTGAGAAGAGAAGCCACAGACTGGGGGAAAATATTTGCAAAGGCACATCCGATAAAGGACTGTTATCCAGAAGAGACAAAGAGCTCTTAGAACTCGATAATAAGAGAGTTAACAACCTGATTTCTTTTTCCACTGGGCAAAGGCCCTGAACAGACAAGTCACCAAAGATACAGAGATGGCAACTACATGAGTGAAAAGCCGTTCCCCGACAGACGTCACTGAGGAATCACAGATTAACACAAGGCGATGCTGCT